CACTGGCACAGCTCAACATCCACAGTATGTAGTTATTTGTGGAAACTATTACATATATCGGAGTGTAAAGCACAACACTTTCCAGTATCTTGAATGCAGGTATTGCACTTGCATCTAAAAAACCACCCTCGAACCGAGTCGTCAACGTTAAAATTTAAAGTTAAAAAACGTTCAAATAAAATATTCAGGCTCCTTCTTGGTGAATCGTCCCAATGGGGGGAGGCGTCAGCACGGGGTTGTGTGGGCTTGTGGTAGGGTGTATCTTACGCGAAGTGTATTGTGTACTACGTACACAATTTTAACGTTGACGACTCGGTTCGAGGGTGGTTTTTTAGGTGCAAGTGCAATACCTGCATTCAAGATACTGGAAAGTGTTGTGCTTTACACTCCGATATATGTAATAGTTTCCACAAATAACTACATACTGTGGATGTTGAGNTCTAAAAAACCACCCTCGAACCGAGTCGTCAACGTTAAAATTTAAAGTTAAAAAACGTTCAAATAAAATATTCAGGCTCCTTCTTGGTGAATCGTCCCAATGGGGGGAGGCGTCAGCACGGGGTTGTGTGGGCTTGTGGTAGGGTGTATCTTACGCGAAGTGTATTGTGTACTACGTACACAATTTTAACGTTGACGACTCGGTTCGAGGGTGGTTTTTTAGGTGCAAGTGCAATACCTGCATTCAAGATACTGGAAAGTGTTGTGCTTTACACTCCGATATATGTAATAGTTTCCACAAATAACTACATACTGTGGATGTTGAGCTGTGCCAGTGTTTTCATGATTTGTTGTAAGTGCCTCTGAAGATGGTTCCTTGGAACCGAAACATGTAAGGCAGATGAGATAAATAAGTGACCAAAATATATATTGTTGCACTTGACGGAAATTCTATTGACAATTGGTGAAAAATGGAATATATACCATGCCCCAAGATATATTAGGTTATATAAAGGTTGAATTGATTACATAAATATTAAAAATAATTATTTTTAAAATTATTTAAGCCTATTATGTATGGGAGGTAAGAATATGTATGCCAATTCCTTCTAGGTTCCATTGCTAGAGTGTAGAGTTGGTCATGTTATGTCATTGTAGATCTTTGTTGTTAGAAGCTTTCTACGTAGTAAGCCCAGTCGTGGAGCCCAGAGACAAGTTTCTGTGGTGTACGGGTTCTTACTGTGTGATGCCCTGGATGTGCATATTTCCGATATGCGTCGTTGTATGATCATAAAATGTGACGTATGCCCAACTCTACCCTCTAGCATTGGAACCTAGAATGAACTGGCATACATATTCTTACTCCCATACGTAATAGGCTTAAATATTAAAAAAAAATCATTATCTTTAATATTTAATATTTCTGTAATCAATTCAACGTTTATATCACCCAGTATATCTTGGGGCATGGTATATATTCCATTTTTATGAATTTTATATTTTATCTTATTCTTCATCTTATTTTAATTGTAATACAAGCTCGAGGCAAATTTTCTTCTGTTATTATATAATACACGACACTGCTTTATGAGGAGTTTCATAACTTGTACTCTTCTCCAAGTATGAATATACGTAGAATGATCAAATCAAGGAGGATGAGGTGGGCAGGGCATGTAGCACGAATGGGGGAGAAGCGGAAAGCATATAGGATATTGGTGGGAAAGCCAGAAGGAAGGAGACCACTGGGAAGACTAAGGCGTAGGTGGGTGGACAATATTAAAATGGATCTTAGAGAGATAGGATGGGGTGGAATGATTGGGTTAGTCTGGCTCAGGATAGGGACCAGTGGAGGGCTCTTGTGAACACGGTAATGAACCTTCGGGTTTTATAAAAGGCTGGTAAATTCTTGAATAGCTGCAGAATTGGCGGCTCCTCCAGAAGTGTTCAGCTCCGTGAGTAAGGTAAGATATAACACGACACGTCGCACTGGTATGGATGCACACCGGTAGCTCAGTAACTGCACTTAGTCCTGTGTATAAGGGCCTATGCAAAACGTTAATATCGAGAATATTTGTTGTGTGACGGTTAACCTAACTCCTATATATATATATATATATTTGCTGCACTCTCTGAAGAGGCTTCACCCCCCCCCCCCGGGNGGGCGGCAGCTTGAGGTCACGAGAAGCGCTCCACTCCGCTGTCACTCCTGTATTATACGATTCCAGCATTTGCTAGGACTGGCTGAGGAAAACCATAAATCTAATTCAGGACAGCCGATGTCTCGACCGAGACTCGAACCGAGCACTTCCCGAATACAAGTCTAGACTGTTACCGCTGCACCAACCCGTTCAGTAATTTCTGCACTGATGAAGTCGCAATTATGCCGTTAGCCTGCTCTCATGTGAGCCGGTGTAGCTCAGTCAGTATAGTTGCCCTGCTACGAGCTGTACCATATGGTTCGATTGCCGGTAAGGGGGCCACAGTTAAAGCAACCGGAATGTGAAGCTGAACACCCATCTCGCTGTAGTACCGAGCTTATGAATGAGTGGAGCTAAACCTCTATTCCCCAACACGACTTAATGGAGTTTCGGTTAATTATTCAGGGGAACAACTGCGCTTTATCTGCTTTTCCTATTTTATATTTGTTTTATCCTTGTATGGAGCCGGGTAGCTCAGTCAGCATAGGAACTAGACTACGGGCTGGACTGCCGAGGGGTCACGTTTCGAGTCCCGGTAGGAGCACAACGTCTTTGTCTTCTCGATAACGTCCAGACCGGCTCTGTGGCCCAACCAGCCTCTTCTACATTGGGTACCGGGGGTAAAGTGGCAGGAGCGTGAAGCTGACAACTCATCTCCATCTTGTGCCGAGATCAACAATGGTGGAGCTATACCTCAACTCCCGAATGGCGTGGCGCTTATTTAATTACGCCCAGGGACAAATTTATATGTTTGCGTGCCTGTTGCATTAGAACAGACGGATTTCCACGAAACCTGGTATGGAAATTGTGCCACTAGAGGTCATATTATGTTGTGCTCAATATCTATTTAGAATCTTATTGGAAATGTAAGGAGCAGCGATAGCTCAGTCGGTATAGCTACTAGCTACGGCCTGGATGGCAAAGGGACCTGAGTTCGAGTCCCGATAGTGGTAAGATTTCCTCCTCTTTACGTCGTCCAGACCTGTTCCTGGGCCCAGGGGACACCGAAGGCTCTTTCCCCGGGATTAAAGCGGCCAGGACGCGAATCTGATCACTCGTCTATTTACTACCATGCTCAAAGATGCGTGGATCTACACATCCACTCCCCCATACGCCTTCATGGAGTAGTGCTTAATTAGTTAAGCACAGGGACAACTTCACATTTTATAATTAATGTATGTGTTGGGCAGTTTTGGGGATGATTTTTTTTTTCATAGAACTCGACAGGGCCTCGATTGCAGCTCTTCCCACTGGAAACGTGCGCATGCGCATATTGAGGCGGAAAGCTTATGTTTGGTTGCACTATCAGCTGTTTGGCTTGAACGTGAGATAGGCTACGTAAGGCAAAATAGGACAAGTGGTTCCCCGGTTTAATGGGCAGGTTGTGTCTCTAAAAATGCTAAATGGGCAAAAGATAAAAAGGCAACCCGTCCGCCAATTAACTCGAGTGCTAAGTGTCTACAATTTCGACCTTCACAAAAAAAGTGTTATATGTGCCATGTGGTACCGTTGGTTAGCCTGTTTCGTTTAAACCTCATAGTTGAGAATAACTTGGTGGGGGAGGGACCCTTTCCCAAACTGTTGAGTTCTAAGGAAGACAGGTCTCCTATATAGTATATAGGACTTCGATCCACACAGCGGTGTCCGTGTCCTCTGAGATGCATCGCGTATAGTCATGTGAAAGTCAATCGACGTTTCTGAGGATCAGCTTGTTTACTGCCTGCGTCATGCTTTCTCTTTGCTTCGCTTACTCTTCGAACCTGAATATGAGAATGACGCGCTTCTCCGAAACTTCGATTGACTCACTGGATTACATGACGGTCTGTTGCCACGTCATGCTGTGAGTAGACAGCTGTATGCTGAAGGAGGCCTCTGGCATGGAGATGTTGAGAATAGAACCCAGTAGCGTTCTGATGCAGACCGAACAGCAAGTTATATCTAGCGCCATCTCACAAATGTTGGCAGTCGCAGTTATGAAGAATTGCAGGGGAAATTTCCCTTCTTCTGAAGTACATTATGTATTAGCTATGGAAACATGTGGAGGGATGGAGGTATAGATCCACCATTGTTGAGCTCGGTACTAGGTGGAGAAGAGTGGTCATCTTCACGTCCCTGTCACTTTACCCCCGGTAACCATTGGATAGGAGGCTGATAGGGCCCCGGAGCCGATATGGACGTTATGAAGAAGAGAAAATCTTGTCCTTACCAGGAATCGAACACCGGCCGTGCAGCCTGTAGCCTGTCGTTACACCGGCTGAGCTGTACAATTATTAAATATTACAAAAGTCATCCCAAACTGACAATGAGTCAGGAATTTTGTGAACTTTTACAGATTTTAAAGTTATCAGAATTAAAAATAACAACACGCTGACACGCGGCATACGAGGTGACAATGCAACTATTGTAACAAGAGTGTATACAGCTGATGATGGCGGAGGTCGAAAAATATAATCAAATATATGAAAGATGGCAAAAGGCGTTTTATTTAAGACAGTGGTTACACTTTCTGGTCACTGAACTGCAGCATCTGTTGTTAGGGAACACAAAGTGACGATTATGTATTTCGCGTCATTATCGTTGCTTATTAAACGCTGTCAGCCTTTGCAGTAGGGCGGTAGAGATAGTGACCTAATTCTGAATAGCCCCCAACTTTTTTCCCCTGGAGCGACTGAGGAAAACCATGAAAATTCTCACCATAATCTCTGATGTTCTTGAGAATGGAACTGACTATCTCAAGAAAGCAAATCAGGAACGTTACTTCTTGAGCCAAATTCATCAGTTATTTGGCCTTGATTTGTAATGCAGGAAATGTAAGATGAGGTATTAAATGCAAAACACGCAGTGCGGGAATAACAGTTTGTTCAGTGACATCAAATCAATATCTTTAATTCTTGCAAGAAAATGTTAACAGCCTGCTACTGGGACAATTCTTTAGACTTTACTTTCCATTTAAATCATACGTTAAGTACAGTTGTGCAATGGTACGTAACTTATCAGTGGTTACACTATTCAAGGCAGTGTCTTGTAGCGTCAAGACGCTTACAAAGAACTGCAGAGGGATCTCGTGTCCGTCGTATAGTATCTCTCCATCAGCACTCTCTCCAGCAGACTTCAGTACGTACTGCACGTATAACAGTGCAATGTCCTTGGCGTCAGGTGTCTCTTCCTTCGTGGCGTCGGTTGATATCTGATCACCTTCTGCTGCCACAGTTGAGGCTTCTTCAGCGCTCGAGATGTCATCTTCTGGAATGTCAGATCCTTCAACTGTTGCACTTGCCTCATCTGCAGGAGTTGAGGCTTCTTCAGCGTTCGAGATGTCATCTTCTGGAATGTCAGATCCTTCAACCGTTGCACTTGCCTCATCTGCAGGAGTTGAGGCTTCTTCAGCGTTCGAGATGTCATCTTCTGGAATGTCAGATCCTTCAACCGTTGCACTTGCCTCATCTGCAGGAGTTGAGGCTTCTTCAGCGTTCGAGATGTCATCTTCTGGAATGTCAGATCCTTCAACCGTTGCACTTGCCTCATCTGCAGGAGTTGAGGCTTCTTCAGCGTTCGAGATGTCATCTTCTGGAATGTCAGATCCTTCAACCGTTGCACTTGCCTCATCTGCAGGAGTTGAGGCTTCTTCAGCGTTCGAGATGTCATCTTCTGGAATGTCAGATCCTTCAACCGTTGCACTTGCCTCATCTGCAGGAGTTGAGGCTTCTTCAGCGTTCGAGATGTCATCTTCTGGAATGTCAGATCCTTCAACCGTTGCACTTGCCTCATCTGCAGGAGTTGAGGCTTCTTCAGCGTTCGAGATGTCATCTTCTGGAATGTCAGATCCTTCAACCGTTGCACTTGCCTCATCTGCAGGAGTTGAGGCTTCTTCAGCGTTCGAGATGTCATCTTCTGGAATGTCAGATCCTTCAACCGTTGCACTTGCCTCATCTGCAGGAGTTGAGGCTTCTTCAGCGTTCGAGATGTCATCTTCTGGAATGTCAGATCCTTCAACCGTTGCACTTGCCTCATCTGCAGGAGTTGAGGCTTCTTCAGCGTTCGAGATGTCATCTTCTGGAATGTCAGATCCTTCAACCGTTGCACTTGCCTCATCTGCAGGAGTTGAGGCTTCTTCAGCGTTCGAGATGTCATCTTCTGGAATGTCAGATCCTTCAACCGTTGCACTTGCCTCATCTGCAGGAGTTGAGGCTTCTTCAGCGTTCGAGATGTCATCTTCTGGAATGTCAGATCCTTCAACCGTTGCACTTGCCTCATCTGCAAGAGTTGAGGCTTCTTCAGCGTTCGAGATGTCATCTTCTGGAATGTCAGATCCTTCAACTGTTGCACTTGCCTCATCTGCAGGAGTTGAGGCTTTTGTAATACATTTATCTTTGTTTTTGCTTCCATTTTTACATGTTTGTTTTGTCACCCTTCTATCATCGTCGTCGTCATCGTCATCGTCATCATCATCGTCGTCGTCGTCGTCATGTTTCTTCGTCTTGTCGTCGTCATCGTCGTCGTCATCGTCGTCGTCGTCATCGTCGTCGTCGTCGTCGTCGTGTTTCTTCGTCTTCTCGTCGTCGCTATGCCTCTGGCTGCCCAGCGTTACCCCCTTGTGTCCATCAGGGGCAGGAGCAGCCTCCACGTGCTGATGCACAGTGAATATGGCGAATGCGAGTAACAGCCCCACCTGGAAGCAGAGACAGTATTGCTAATAATAGAAAGTCAACAAGGAGCTGATTTTCACACAGCTCTTCAAGAATGACTCGCTTTTTGTGGAATCTCATGATAATTTGTAGTGTCCACTGGACCCTGTCCGGAGACAGTACACGCCCTTACACTTCAATTCTTTAATATCAATTTTAATATTATTCTCAATCTGCACCACATTTCCCAAGATGTCTGTTTCCCTTAAATTTCCTAATACAATTTTATATTTCATACGTGCTATATTCCGCTCCCATCTCATCGTGCTTGATCAAGGTGACAAACAAAAACAACAAACTCCGTGTTTCTAGTCCGCAAACGAAATATACCGACCAAGTGACCGCCGCTTGGCGAAGTTAGTGCCAACTTTAGCGGATAGAGGTTGTTGCGTGGTCAGCGCAACGAATCCCCAGGGCCGTTAATTTCAGTTTTCTAGACTGGAGCCGCTATTTCCTTGAAATAGCTCTCAATTATCCTCACGAGGCTAAGTGGACCCCATTCCAGACCCACTACTTCTCAGAAAATCTGGTAGCGCCAGGAATCGAACCCGGACCTCTGACCACTGGTCCACAGAGGCGGTCACGTGTTAGTGTGATCAAGGTGGCACTTTTTGGCAACTCCAGGTATCCCAGGCTTACTGTAGTGCCATAAAATGCCTTAACCATTTGCCTATCAAGCCCCACTGCCTGCTAGAAACACGAAGGCTGCTTAGGGTACAGGCATATGCACACAAAACCCCGCAATACTTTCATCAGATAACCTTCAAACAATCACAGATATAGAACATGTTAAAGTCTGTTCTTTCCTATACACAGCGATACGTTACATGCAGCCGGGATAGCTTGGTTGGTATGGTGAGGAGCTTCGGGCTCTGAGGCCCACCCAGCCTCACCGGGGATAAAGCGGACTGCGCGTGAAGCTCACTACTCACTTCCTTCTAGTGCCGAGGTCTTCATGACGTGGTGCTTAATTAAGTAAACGCAGGGAAATGGCATCTTTCTAAACTCTTTTATTTCTTATTCGTAGTGGGATGAGACTGAGCCCACTCGGTACTGCGGCCACTTCTGGTCTACTGTACCAGCCCCAGATGACAGGTGAGGGTGATTGTGGAGCAATTGATGGAATGAAGATTGGCAAGGGAAACCGAAATACTCGGAGGAAACCTGCCCCACCCTCACTTTGTTCACCATAAATCCCACATGACCAGACCCGGGCTCGAACCTGGGCCGCCGCGGTGGGAAACCAGCGACTAACCAGCCCTCTGTAACCTTTATCTGCATGTTGTATTTGACGTCACATGTGGACAGAACTGTACGAGTACTAAGTGATCAAGGAGGAGTCGGTTTCTCTTGGCAAGTACCTCAAGGCGGTCTAATCGGATCATTGTGTGCACAGGCTTAAGTACATCTCCCTACTTTATATGAAGTTCATTAAACTTATTTTAAAAGCTACTTTACATTACATTTCTCATGAAATAAATGATAATAATAATTTTGGTTCTGTTCGAAGTGAATAATTATTATTTATTTATCTGTAGTTTCTGATAGGAACCTGTCAGTCGTTTCTGTTGACAGGTTATGTAGGAGACAGGCGTCTATCTGGAATCCACAAAAATGGGTGGTGGACGGGATAAGAAAAATGGCAGAAGAGGAAAAGAAACCCATTTTAAATGTCTGTGTATCTCGCCACTCTGTCCTTGTGAGATACTGTTGCTGCGATAGCAAGTACAGACCACTAAGACAGGCACTATTCGCGAAACACGTCATTTGCGCATTTTCATGCTTCGTGGATTTTGCTGACAGTTTGTTCTTGCAAAGTTGACCCCTGCAGAAGCATCACGGCACCGGAATCACAAGCTATTTCTCCTTACATTTTGGTACATAATCATCATACGGAAAAAACGTTGTACGTCTTGAGGAGGCCTTTAGTTCCTTAACTTGAACCTTCTGTTCCTACCTCACAGGAAACATACTGCACCTTATTTACAAACACCAACCTGCTAATGTTGTCTAGGGAAATATTCTCTGTTTGTTCTGATAATCATATAAAACAACAGACATGGAATTTGTGAGGGAAATGCAGAGTTCCTTAACTTTAAAGCTGGTGGTATGTATTGTATCGATTTAGGGGTAAGTGTAGACGGGGTTTGAATTGGATCTTGGATTTATTGACCACGTTAACACACGACTCTTAATTACACTTTTCAATCACTGACACACAGAAACTAGTGTTCTCAGTCTGTTAGAGTCTCCACTAACCGTTTCCTAGCAACGGTGTTTCACACAGGAAGTATAACAGTCTCACTGAATTACACACTACAAACATCACTCATAAATCTACTCTGCGCAGCCGCACTTTGCAACTAACTCTTCTCTTCACATCCTCTCGTACAGAACTTCACTGGATTCTTAAGTGACAACTGCCAGGCTGGCGGCCATTTCACACCAATCTCCTAGTCTTCTCTTCACAGACTGACTTTCAAGAAACTGGGTAGCCCCAGCTGTCTTCTTTATAACCCCTTTGCACGGACCGAGTGGAGAACACCTTTTCTAACAGTAAATCTGTTAGTGTAGACTCATGTTTACTGCGCCATTTGTTTCGAGGTCTTTGGCTAGCAGTGGGTTTATACGCCACAATATAGCTAGACTCTTCTTGGCAGAAATTTTGACATTCTCTCTAATAGTTTCACAAACTCTTATTAACATCCACCTCAGTGTCTAAATTGTCCAAAGCTGTGAACCTATTTGAGATTTCAACACGATACTGCTCTTTGCCCTCTACCTCATTTCATTTCTTGAGATTTATCCTCTCCATGTGAACTCCGTGTGCTGTTTGTTCGCTCACTGCCAGTCTTTCCCTAACCTTTGCCACCACCAGGTAGTGGTCAGTATCACAATCTGCTGCCCTGAATGATCGGACATCAAGTGTACTTGAGTGCCGTCTTCTATCTATCAAAATATGGTCTATTTGATTGTGTATCTTCCCATCAGGAGATGTCCAAGTAAATTTATGGATGTTACGACGTTGGAACATTGTACTTTTGACAGTAAGATTTTTTGATGTGGCAAAGTTTACTACTCTAACTCCATTATCATTACTAATTTCATGCAAACTCTCATTCGCATTCGTTGGTTTGAAAATGTCTTCCCTCCCTACTTTGGCATTGAAATCTCCTAACAGAATTTTCATAGGGTACTTCGGGGATTTATCAAATACATGTTCTAGTTCTTCGTAGAACCTCTCCTTTATGTCACAATATAGTTACCAAGATTAATGAGGTTGAGTTATAGCCTACTCTGGAGTGGGTGTCAAGTAAAGCAAGAGATTGCAACAGATCGCAGCAGCTGACGTAATTACCTTAACCAAAACATGCGACCCCCGTGCCACGAACCATTGAAACAATTGCGTTGTAAGTTACAAGGAGTAAGTTCCAATATACAAGTTATTCGAACTTTAATAATAAATTTAATATATGCACGTCTAGTCTATAAACATGATAGAATAAATGTATTTTCAGTATTGAGATATAAGAACGTGTAAGTTATTTAGGGGTCACGCGGTAGCGTAGTTGGTTGAGACATTATGCTACAAGCCGGAAGGTCGAGGGTTCAAGTCCCGATGAGGTCAAGTAGTTACTATAGGATTCTGACGATGGTGTATAACACACAGAGATATTGGGTTTTCGGACTTTATCCATCGTCCTGGTTCTTCTTAGCTATCTTGAAATCCAGCACGATGGATAAAGTCCGAAAACCCAATGTCTCCCCGATGAGGTCATTGGATTTTTTCAATTGACCTAACCCTTCCAGCCGCACTATGGCCCTGGGGTCGACTCAACCTCTACCAGGAATGTTCTTGGAATATTCTTGGGGGTAAAGGGCGGCCGGCACATAGGGCTGACAACCTTGCCGTCATCTGTGAGATGATTGTCTAGAAAATGTGGGAACCTCAACATCTCACAACCCTATGGACCTCCACGGCCTGTTACAGGGATATCTTTACTTACTTTACTTTTGTTATAAGTTATGTAGTTTGGGTTGAAAATAAAATGATATTACATGCACGAAGAGACATATAGACTCGCACTGTTTATAAGAGTCTGGTACACACAAAAATCAAATTCTTAACAGACCGTTCAGTGTCCTCTCCGCCAATACAAGATTTGATATCGGTCAAGGAATTTCGGACATGAAACCCGTGGACGAACGGACCTCCCGATAGTTTTGTACAATACATGCTGGCTACTTACTGTCCACGTGAGAGTTCCCATGTTGAGAGGAGCGCTTAGCCGAAGAGCCGGTCGGGACGTGCAGAGCCCTTATATGGAAGCAACGGAACTCCTAGCAGCGCCATTTCTGTAATTTACTTGTGAGGCGGGTGAAGAACGGTGCACTGCTTTACAAATGGTGGACATCATTGCGGGAAATTAATGGCATTGTCGTCGTTAGCAAGTCATGAATTTGTCAGCTGTACGACGTCTGCAATGCTGGGTCATCAACAGGCAATACTGTAGGCTACCGACTTTCCTGACACGTTTCTCGTCTTCTGCGATGCAGCGCCGTGTAGATATTGTATTAACCGATGTCTCGGAGGAACGTATCGCCTCCATCTTCAGGGTAGAAGAAAAAAGAAGAAAAATCCGCGAGCGAGGAACCAGCGTAGAGCATGTGCGGCACCGAAACGTCGGTTAATACAATATCTACATGGCACCACATCCAAGAAGACTGCTTTCTTCATAATCACCGCCGTGATAAACTTCAAGTCTTACACATTTCTCGTGGTTTCCCTCAGACCCGCAAGAGAGTGCCGGGATAGTAAGGATGGGAACTTCGCATAAGCCTCCCCCCCCCCACACGCACTGTAATTGTGGAACTTCATGTCTTCAAGTTCCCAGCGTGTGTTTAGTGAAACCGTGATTTCAAGCTGTAACTCGGGGGGGGGTGGGGGGTAAAGAGCAGGGTGGACTAACGGAAGGGGAATCTGTGAAAACTGCAGCTAGAGGTGTCAATTGCCTCATTTATTAGCACGATTCTCAATAGTAACTTATATACACACACTTACCTCATGTACTCTATGTTTAATCAACAAACTCTGAATTTTGCTCACACACACTGAATTTATATTTTTATATGATTTTCAGAGAGCCGGGATAGCGTAGTCGGTATAGCGACTGGCTACGGGATGGACGACCAAGGGGTCAGAGTTCGAGTCACTGTAGGATCAATAGTTTTCTCCTCTCCGCGTCGTCCAAACCGGCTTAGGGTCCCGCCCAGTTTCCTAGACAATGGGTACCAACAGATCTATCCTTAGGGTTAAAGGGGCCGGGGCGTGAAGCTGACCGGTCGCCTCCAACTAATGCCGAAGTCAAGAATACGTGGATCTATACATCCACTCCCCCATATGTCTTCATGACGTAGTGCCTAAGTAGTTAAGCACAGGGACAACTTTGTCCTTTTTACCTTTGTATGGTTTTCAGAATAAACAGCCAATATTTCCCGGAACAGCAACGAACAATTAGTCCTGGTAATTCTTGTTTTGACCGCCTCTATGGTCTAGTGGTCAGAGTTCCTGGCTACAGTTCCAGAGGTCCGGGGTTCGATTCCCGGTGCTGCCAGATTTTCTGAGTAGTGGGTCTGGAAAGGGGTCCACTCAACCTCGTTAGGATAATTGAGGCGCTACTTGAATTGAAAAGTAGAGGCTCCGGTCTAGAAAACCGAAATTAACGACCGTGGGGATTTGTTGCGCTGACCACGCGACACCCTCCATCCGCTAAAGTTGGTACTAACTTCGCCGGCAAGCGGCGGTCGCTCGGTCGGTATAGTTCGCCACGTAAGTTTGTCAGTTGTTTGTAATTCTTGCTTTAAATGAGTTACGATTTAATTTTAGTATTATTTACATGATACACAGCCTTCAGAATTTTAATATTCATTTGTTGGCTTATAGACCCAATACGATTTCTTGGACACTCGTAGGTTCACGTGCCCTAGTTTGCGAAATGTTTCCAGAGTGTTAAGAATAGAACGACAATTATTATTCAAAGGCTGTCAACGACTTGCAGAAGGATCATTCGTCTCCGAGATATGAAGAAGCAACCTGCAGGTGCTTGCAACTTATCTCTCTGGTGTCAGGTTCTGGCCCACTGCTCTTATCTCCTGTCATTCCTCCTGCGGCCTGTCCTTGTTTTTGCTGAGACATTTGTGTGTAATGCGAAGCGGTGATAATTACCTTCGGGTAAAAGTGCTTAACTAATTAATCACCACAACATGAAGGCATATGGGAAGTGGAGGTATAGTTCCACCATTTTTAACCGGAGTTGAGTGGTCAGCTTCATACCCACGGGGGAAGAACCCCGGTACCCATTGGGAATGGGAAGGAGGCTAGGTGGGCACCAGTCCAGGTCTGAACACTGTGGAGAAGAGACAGATCTGTTGCCTTCGCCGGAAATCGAACATCAGTTTCTCATTCATCCAACCCATCGCTATACCGACTGAGCTAGCCTCGGCTCCTGAGAGTCCCTACCGCTTCTTTACTGGCGCTAAAACCCTGTGGGGGTTTTAGTCCAACCCCAACCTGAAGGACCAGGGACTATACTTCGTCTGGCCCTTACCCTTTGACCTGCCTGGCATGGATGGCCCTACCACGAGATTATGCTCCTGCCAGCATAGCTTTCCGGTTCATTGGGGCACGCAAATCTCCTCTCCAGAATAAGGCGGTAGGTTTCGGGTGGGAAAGGATTTAATTTTCAAAATTTTCCCCCAAGACAGGGCAAGATGTTATCCAAACCTTCCTGACATTGATGGCCCTCAGTTCCGTCACTATGCTGAACACTTTATTTGAATAAGTTGGGCTTATCTCATCAAAGCCATCAAACAGAAGTACGGTATTCTCTGCATGGAGTAATTTGTGTTGAAGGAGGGATTTCTGGAATTGCGTGTCAAACCGACCAGCTCTACAGAGCAGCTCAACAGCACTGGGTTGATTCTGCCTCAGGTAATCCGTGTGATCATTCAGGTTGATCCTCACCACACATGTGCTTTGCTCAGCCTCTTTTATTACTGAGGCCAAATGTAAGAGCTCAGTGGATTTCCCCATCCCTGGCTCAGAAATAAGAAGTACCACCTGTTGGGGCAATTGCATAATTTTGTTTACATCACTGTACAAGGTGCCATCTAAAACATGATTCCTTAGAAGGGTCATGTCCCCCTTGGACCCTCTCCACACAAAAGAATTGATTACCTTGTGTAACCAGTGAATGTTGGTATCTGTCAAGGTCTCTTGAAGTCAGGCTGTCTGCAACTTCTGAGAATGTTATACTTTAAGTGAGGAAATTAAGCTGAAAACTTATTGACTTTGTAAAGACTCCACTATCCTACACAGTGCTGAGGTTGCGAACCACTACTGTATTGAGGAGAGTGCTTTTGTATGACAGTGTGCGACACAGACCCTCTGGCTGCTTGTAACGAATCAACTGGACACCCCTCAGTTGTGGGCTGTAGACAAGACTGAGTAGACAGGCTCAAAGCGATCCTTTGTGCAGTTGCCATAAGACTGCGATCAGGCTATACCGGCGGTGGGGGAACGGGGAACAACAAGGTGCATGATCTGAATGTAAATCATTTTTATTCAAAATATACACACAAATTATATCTTATCTAGAACAGTGAAAACACGAACAAACACAGGACGATACTAAGGTAGGATGAAACAAAATCCTTAATATATATATATATATATTACAGTAGGGTTGCAGAAATTAATACAATACCCATAATATATTTGCAGAATCTCCTTCTCAAGATAGACAGGCAGCACAAGTTCAGTCCCCATCAAGAAAGACGATAGGAGAAGGGACACGATCTACTTGGTTTATAAATTTTAACTTAAACAACAAAGTTTTAGAAACTTTAATACCAGGAGAGCTGCTGTGAATGTGAAAAAGTTGGATTTTGTGTATATCGTGCACTCTAGGCATTATGTGTGCATGTATTTTAGCACTCAGAACACCTACTGTGATAGTAGTTTCCAAATAAGTATCGATGTTTCCTCTGAAGATGATCCGTAAGGATCGAAACATGTAAGGGTGCTGAGTTTTCAAGTAGTAAAACCTAAATAGTCACACTGGACGGAATTGTTTTGTCTTTGTATATCTTATTCATTTATGTTTTATACATATATACATGCTGTTTGAAATTCCTTCCATGCAGCGATAATGACAGGGTCATGGTAAACTGATTTAAATTAAAGTTCATGTGGAGAAAAGTAGGCATACTGACATGACTTAACTTGGAGAGACCAATTTCTCCATGCATCAAATTTTGATTTGTTACTCTCATTCCCAAATATGGGGACATGTCCACAGGGGGTAAAGTGGCTGGCAATGTGAATCTGACCAATCAGCATCTAGTACCAATGTGGAGAATACGTGGATCTATTCCACCGATCACCAATATGTGTTCATGGTGAGGTGCTTAAATATTTAAATTGCCAGTCCATGAAGTGTTAAATGAACTACAAACAAAATGCAGAAAATGATCCAATCACATTAGTCAACTGATTTGAAATTAGTAAAGATTTTCAAATCCAAGTGATGTGTTACAATGCCATGCACATTTCGCTGAAGACTGTGGCTCAGATAATAACCTAGGAGCCCTTGAGGCCAAGCACATACACCACTTGGCACATTCTGTTTGTTGTGGAATGCGTTGATGTGCACTAAGTGGTGTCACATGATAGTTCCCCACTTCAAACACCTGAGGTGATGGCTCCTTCTTGATGTGCCTTGAAGAACTCTCATTAGGATACCCGATATGTACTGAGATGTCTGTGTCACAACAACTACCAGTCAACAGATGGGAATCACTCCAACACCCACCCCACCTTCATGAGCACACATGGACGCTACAAATGACCAGGAATCAGTCGCTGGATCGTAAACTTCAACGGTCGACAAGTTAGAGACACCATCGTACCCTCCAATGGCCCAGAGCTTCCCCATGTTTGCGACAAGCGCCACTCTACTCCTCATAACATTCATTGGTGCCACCATGCGCCACCTGGAACCATAAGTTATATTTGCTCCTGGATAGCACAAGAAACAGCTGTCACTTTGGAACCTTGGGGATAATCATTAAGGATGAAAAAATGAAATGACTCATCAGTAGAGACAATTTCAAAACCACAGAAACTAAAACTAGTTTAAAAGTACCAACAGACAGTATATCACAGAGTTCATCATGGAATTCCTATATTTCTTTTAGTTTATCTTTCCTAGAATTAGTCATTTGTACAGGTTGTCCCATAAATCTGATAAATCTGGAACCACAAACTGCCATCGCATGCAATGAGATTACACTTCAGTCAACTCGTGCCATTGTGTTGGACTGCCAAAACATTTGCACATTTGTATCAGCATGATCAGTGGGCATATTGAACACATGTAACAGCCGTAATACTGCCTACAGCTCCAGACATGTGGAACACATGTAGATGTTCCTTGATTCATGTTTCCCCTAATTTAATATTCAATTTCAATGATCACAAGCCACAATGTTATGTTATGTTACTAATCTGTCCAGAAATCTCCATTTAAGCTTTTCCTCTGCTCAAACCCATTGCTCCCCATAGGAACCTCAAGTGATCATTTCATTGTATTTATTTCTGCAAATAACTTAGTACTGTATCTTACTGATTGGTTACAGGATCGAACATCTCGACGCTTTGCAAGAATGTTGAGCCGTCATACCCGCCGCATACATACAGTTTGCCATTCAAAGTGGCCACTCCCAGGCGGCACCTCCTAGTGAGCATGGGCACACATGCCACCCACTTCCCTGCATGGGTATCGTACCGTTCCACCTGCAACATGCATACACAGGGCGATAACATAGTCTGATTGATAAAGTACTTTACTGGATACTTATTACTCTCCATTGGCAGCTGGGATAGCACAGTCGGTATAGTGACTGGCTATGGGCTGGACAACAAGAGGGGTTGGAGTTCAAGTCCCAGTAGGGTCAAGAATTTCTTCTCCACATCATCTGAACCGGCAGTGGGGTCCACCCAACCTCCTATCCAATGGGAACTGGTGGCTCTTTCCCTAGAGGTAAAGTGGCAGGGGCGTGAAGATGACGACTCACCTCCAACTAGTGCCAAGGTCAAGAAAAAGTGGATCTATACAACCACTCCCCCATATGCCTTCATGGCATAGGGCTTAATTAGTTAAGTGCAGGGATAACTTTACCTTTTTTGTTACCCTTAATTGCAGATAATTACAACTCTTATTATTCTTCACAATCTAAAAACAACAGCAGCAATTTCCAATTCTTTCCAGTCTGCTGTATCTTCACATACTTGTAGCTTGGTTATGGCCTCAAATAATTGGGTCTCTCCCTAATGTTTCCATGCTCAATGGCCCCAGTCACGTTGGTCGTGTGAATGGCTGCTGGCCCTCAACAGCACACTCATTCTTGGTTCCAGGTTCCATGGGACTCATGACATTATTTTCCTGTCTCATGACCGTTGGAGTCGTGTAACTTCTCAGCTGTGTGCATATCTGTTGCTGCAGAAATGGGTTTTAACAGGCCTCTGTAGTACTTCATGTCACAACAGCAATGAAATAACTGCAGTCAGTGTCTTCAGTAAAAAACACAATGGAGCGTTAAATAATTGCATACTGTAATTACTTGTGAAGCTTAAAATTATAAGGGGTTACCGAGTCAAAAATAGAGAGTCCATCGTGTCCACCAAGAGCATATATGAATCCTCCAAAGGCTACCACACCACCAGCACTGCGATGCTTTAACATCCTGGCTACCATACTCCACTCATCTTTGTCTGGTTGGTAGCACTCCACGGTATTCAGAGATGTCACCCCATCATATCCACCGCATACGTACAAGCAGTCATTGAGTGCCGCTGCTCCCACAGCACTGTACAGGAAAAAAGAACTAAATGTAATTTAAATAATTCAATACAAATCCTAGCACTGTTCAGTGAGACAAACATTTTGATATACTGATCACTAGATAACATTTTCTTAAAACCAAATTTCTGTCTTTGAGGAAAGTAGTAGCAGATATGGCAACACAGTTCCAAAGTATTATAAAGTAAAGTAAGTAAAGCTATCCCTGTAGCAGGCTGTGGAGGCCCATAGGGTTGTGAGATGTTGAAGTTCCCACATTTTCTAGACAATCGGCTCGCAGATGGAAGTAAGGTTGTCAGCCCTACACGCCGGCCACCTTTTACCCCCAAGAACATTGCTGGTACTCATTTCTGTTAGAGGCTGAGTCGACCCCAGGGCCATAGTGCGGCTGGAAGGGTTAGGTCAATTGAAAAAATCCAATGACCTCATTGGGACTTGAACCCGTGACTTTCCGGCTGGTAGCACAGTGTCTCAACCAACTATGCTACCGTGTGCCCTCCAAAATATTATTCTAGGTTTTATTTTTTAATTGATTATAGCTCTAAATACAACGTGGAAATATTCACAGAATCCAAACTTGGAGTTTAACTTTCTTCAAACTGTTTGGCCCATAATTCTTATCTCAAAGTTCCTCTCAAAATTATGCAAGCTTCTTTGATCTTCAAAGTAGCTACCCTAACACCACCATGTGGGCTGTATACTTTAAGATGTTTATAAAAATTAGTTCTTCTTTGTAAAATATAATTCAGCCTCTGTGTATAAACACGTAACTGCACATCTGGTGGGAGAAATATAACAACAAATTACATTTGAATTACTGGGTTTTCTTGGCTGTCTGCCATCCTGTTGTTCAGACAGAGTGTGATGTTTTGGAAAATGGATCTTTCTGTCCTCAGACGAGAGGTGGGGATTCATTTACTCAGGTGGGTCTGTTAAAAAAAAGCTAATCTCAGAGGTCAGGCCCAATCCTTAGCGTAATATACCACCATCAGAATTTCATATTAAGATATATTTAATTGTACTTGGAAAACCCTTTGTAAAGCAACCACTCTGAAGATCATGAAACAAATGGGAGGATAATATCTAAGGTGAATACATTCTGAAGATGCAAGGTAACTGAAAATGGCTCAAAATCATGATGAGTTCATTCATTCCATTTAGCATTTATAATTGCTACAACAGTAACGCTTGAACAAGTCACGTCACATCACACAGACACAGTGGCAGACTTTGTTATCAGCAGTGCTGATAATTTGGATTTATTTCTACAGTTATGTTTTTTTTATTGCTAGTGGGGTGGGACTAAGTCCCTTGCACTGCGGCCATGTCTGGCCTATTGTACCAGTCCCAGATGATGGGTGAGGGTGATTGTGGAGCAATTGGTGGAATGAAGATTGGCAGGGGAAACCGAAGTACTCGGAGAAAACGTGCCCCAAGTGCCACTTTGTCCACCACAAATCCCACTTGAACAGACCCAGGATCGAACCCGGGCCGCCGCGTTGGGAAGCCAGCCACTAACCGCTTGAGCTATGGCGCAGCCATGCAGTTATGTTAGATTCACTTTATCTTTAAAATGTGTTTTGAGTTATAAGATGAAACCAAGTTATGATTTAAGGTCACAATGCAGTTATGATATTTTAATAAAGTTTCCTCCAGTTCAAATGTTCCCTGCTTCAGTGTTACCAACTACACTTGAAAGGAGCAAACTTAAACAAGAATCCACTTGCATTTGTGTCTTCACAGGCAGTTGAGTTGACTCGAAACCCGCTAACTAATCAATGAACCCGAGTCACATTAACATTGTGCACTAACCTGCGTTTACAATGCATAGGGGAAACTCGACTCCATGCTCGTTTTTGGGGATCAAACACTTCAACAGTTGATAGCCGTTCACACCCGTTGTAACCACCAAATGCATACAGTCTGTTTCGCATTACAGCCACACCAACACGACTCCGGAGCATGCTCATCGCTTCTGCCAACTGCCAGCGACCAACAATTGGATCATACACCTCTACCGTACTCAACGAATCACCTGTCACAGATATACTGACAAGTAAATACAGATTCTGAATGCAAATAAATTGCATCCATATATGGTCTATCATCTGTAATTCACAAGATTTAAAATTAATTTTTTTTTAAATTTGCTTAGTGGGGTCCAACTGGGTCCACTTGGCACGGCGGCCATCGATTGGCCTATTGTACCTGCCCCAGGTGATTATGATGGAAAATTTGGTGGAATGAAGATTGGCAAGGGAAACTGCAGCATTCGGAGAAAACCCGCCCCAGTGCCACTCTGTCAACCACAAATCCCACTTGACCAGAACCAGGATCGAACATGGGCCGCCGTGGTGGGAAGCCAGCGACTAACTGCTTGAGCTATGGTGTGGCCCATTCACAAGATTTAGCTGAAGGTATGTTAACCAGAAGACTGACTTTACCACTAAGTGGTTTCCTGAAGTCTAAGTGACTTTAACATTCTCCATGCTGTAAGCCAGGTAAATTGGTTCAGAATATTTGCATTAGAACTGCCACCACCAAAGAGACTGGCTCTTTGTTAATCACTCAGTATACAGCTTTCTATCGATATATGGTGTCACATGTGGTACATCAATGCTTAGACGAAAGAATGGAGTCTGATGTTATCTGCACCTGTACCTTTCTGAAGGTAATCTCAGGACGGACTGTGGATTTTTCTGGGCAGCCTTGGCATTTCTACAGTCTGGCTTGACAGCAATAGGGTTAAAAAATCTCTCCAGTGGTTTCGTGTATTATAGATATATTTTGCTTTTTGAGGCAAAACAAAGAAAGGTCTTCAGTCATCAGAGAGACAAAAATTCAGAAACTGACTACTGTCATTAGAAATAGATCCAATTTTAAACACTCAGAAAGTTAGCAAGCTGTAGCCAATATTACCTGATTTTGTAAGACCACCAACAGCAAAGATGTGACCCATAATACAATTACAGCACCGAGGTCGACTGCGGAAACTCTGCAACAGCGGTCGCCGCTCAGGCATCAAGTGGTAGTCCCGGGCTTCATCCAGTAGGTCCCTGAAATTATTTACAGTGCTAACATAACGTAGTAGGTGCACATTTTGAGAACAAGTCACAATTTCCTACACAAACCACAAAGGAATTGGAAATTATGAAATTAAGAGGAGACTGTTGTTATTATCAGATATGAAGTTATTCTTGTTATTCAACACTGTTTCAACTTCATAGGTTACATAGCATCAAGATAGACAAGGAAACTGATCACAGAAGGTGAATGCATAATGATTGTGAAGGAAATGAGCGCAGCATCCTGATACTGAAGAAGACCACAAGAAACCTCCAGGCAGGCAGCAACCTTAACAACAATCTGAAACGGTCTAAAGTGTTAGCAGCTGTGCCTACAGAATTTTGGTGTGAAAATGTCTTGGAAGGGAGGCACTCAGAGTGAGTTGGAGGGGACCAGTCACACACCCACACGTGTCCAACCTCCTAGCCAATGCATACCAGTAGCTCTTTCCCCAGGGGTAAAGCAGTTGGGGCGTGAAGCTGACCACTCACCTCCAGACAGTGCTGAGGTCAAGAAAATGTGGATCTATACGTCCACTCACCCATACACCTTCATGGCATAGTGCTTCATTAGATAAGCACAGGGACAACTTTACCTTCTACCTTACCACAATATTCACATATCACATCCCAGTAGACGGTATGTTCATAGTCACCACTACGAGAACATCACATCTCAGGCAACAGAGACTTCTGGTTTATTCGGTGGAATCCAAGAACCATGATGTATGTGCAGAAGTGGCATATGTCTCACATGGCACAGTTGTAGCTTTCAAGATGCCACTCAGACCACTGTCTTACCGGCACTCATGTGATGTCCTGATCAGTTCTTCCACAGAGACCCTGTCAGCCAGGTAGTGTGGGGTAAGAAGTGGCATACGGACTGCAGCAAGCAGCTGTGGCAGGTCCTTCTTGCGCACTTCTGGTTCCCTCTTTACCCATCTCATCACTGCTTCAAACACCTGCATTAAATTAAACAATGAACAATGAACAGGGCTGTCTAATTCATCCAACATTGTGCTGAATTGTTGGAAAACAGTGACTAATGAACTGGAAGGATTGTGGAAGGAAATGGTGATGGTATAATTTAAGGCATAATCCAACCATTTGCATGGAGAGGCTGAAGAAAACCACAAGAGCCTGTCAGGAGACTTGGTGCCCCAGCCAAGATTTCAAACAGACACCTCATGAATATAAGGGAGTAACATTACTACTTGAGCCAACATGGCTCATAAATGAAGACCTGTACACACAATCTGGTCACAAAATGTCAGGAAGAAAGGCCACTTGATAGACATTGGCACAGAAGCGAAGATAATATTAAAACTAATCTTAGAGCAGTAGATTATTGAGGCATGGAATGCAGTAAACTGGCTCTGGATAGGATATTTGGTGATGAACCTTGGGTTTCATGAAAATATGCTATTTCTTCACTATCTGAGCAACTATGAGGTACTCAAAAGAGACCTTGAGCCATGCCAGTCAGTAAGGAAAACCCAGAAGTTAATTTCAAAATTCTGTAATTCATGTAGTCTATACTTTGAAATACACATGTTAATATTCAGCTTAAATACTGGTACTTGAGAATGCTTGAATTTTACCGATATGGGAATGTGGTGCTGATGAGTAAATCATTACACTCTCATTCAGAGAGTCATAAGTCTGATTCACAAGTCTGGATACAGATTTTCTGTGGCAAATACTCAGCAGTTCTGCAGTTCAGGACCCATGCCTTGTTTCTCTTTGACATGTACCCCCCGTGAACTTATTATCTAACTGCTTCTCATAGATTCTTATTAATTTTCACATCTACACAAACCCTGAGTAGGGGTGCCAGCCACCATGCCCCATCTTCCTACCTGTTCCTCTGTGAAGACATGAAGCTCATCCTTTCGGACAATGTTGAGCAAGTCTGGGCAAGGTAGGCTCAAGTATTCATCAGACATGGAGACATCATGAAAGTACTGATGGATGTACTTGTCGGCTTCCACTACCAGCGGAGAACATCCAAGCGTGTCAGCAAATGATCGGATACCCAGCACATTGTTAGGGTGGAACCTGGATCAGAGTAACAGTTTGTATATTCATTGCACCGAAAAAAAAAAAACTTAATGCTTGTTTTAAATATATTTATAAAGAGAATCCTTCTTGCAGACTACTGCCTTATCGAGGAGAGGCGGCTTGTCTGCACCAGTGACCCAGAGAGCTATGCTGGTGGGAATGTAAGCTCCTGGCAGAGACAGCCATGCCAGACAGGTCAAAGGGTAAGGGCCCTGGTCCACCATGGTCATGGCACTAATGACCACACCCTAGAAAAAATTTATCGTTATGAAACCTTGCAGGAGGCCAAGACCCAAACAGGGTTGCAGTGCCAGAAAAGATGAAGAATATAGACAGAATGGCTATGTTATGAGACCATCTCAATCAGTACAGGCTCTGCCAGAGCTCAGATGGCTAGATGCTGGCTTCTCACTGCAGACGGAGAAGCAATGGCTGGAATTGGAAAATTTCAAAGCAAAAGTTAATTTCACATTATATAGAGTAACCACAGGAACACCTAAGGGAGAAGAGTGAGGAAAACAGAAGGCTTCTACTGCAAGATGAACAACTTATATATAAAATGATGTTCATGGAAGTGATTCTTCTTCGCTTCCCCGCCATTTATAATTCTCACACCACCTGATGTGTAAGCTTCATTTTTATTGTTTTCCACCTTGTACCTAACTTTTACAGGGCACTTGCCACATGATTCATCAGCATACATGTATGGTCCAGCTGATGGACAAGCACTGCATATTTTCAGTGCTACCACTGTACTTTTGGAGGCACGTGGTAGCGTAGGCACTATGCCACAAGCCACGCATTTAGGTCCCGATGAGGTGGATTTTTTCAATTGTCCTAATCCTTCCCACTGCACTATGGCCATGGGGTTGACTCAGCCTCTAACAGAAATGAGTACCAGGAATCTTTCTGCGAGTAAAGGGCGGCCGGTGCATACGGCTGACAACCTCATCGACATCTGTGAGCCGATTGTCTAGAAAATGTGGGAACTTCAACGTCTCACAACTCTATGTGTCTTCATGGTTTTACCTTCTTTACCACTGTACAGTTGTCTCCAACTTAAACTATGCTTCCCAGCCCTTTAGAAACATTAGATTTAGAATCTCCTATTCTCCAATGATAAACTATTACCCAGAGAATGGCTGTCATCTCCAGGTGCTCTGTGATTTATAAACACAGGCATACCACATGAACGTGATACAAAGATTCTATATTTCCTTAAAAAGCAAGGAAACCAGGCTAGAATTAGGAACAGTTGTGTGAACACAATACAGCAATTTTCTTCAGATCAGTTTTATGTCCCCCTGGGCCTCTTATATGTGCACCCGCATCTTCTGCTCCGACGGTAAAGGCCAAAGTATGAAACTGATCACTCAACTGCAATGGACTGAGGTCAGGAGCACGTGGAGGTGTATGCCTGAGCACAATGTACTCTTTGTCTGAGGGTGTATCCTACCTCAAGTAAGCGATCTTACAGAACAAAAAGGCCTGCTTGCTCAATGAAACCTCCCGTACATTCATTTTAGTTCCCACACTGTGTTGAAAGTAGAATCTAGTGACTTCGTAAGGGTGACATAACAACCTGCATCACTGTGTGATGATGACAGACTCTTAAAGATGTTTTAGATACCAGATCAAGTTATCACATAACCTATTTTGAAGTTTTGTAGATAGTGCGAAATTCAGACCAACATCTTATCCTTGCCTTCGCTTGAGGAAGTTAGCACATGCATCCTTGACTTGATTAAGCTGCAGGAAGGAAGCACCAACCATGATAGTCTGCACATTGTCATTATCCAAGATCACTTGTCCGCTGTATGCGAAGTTGATCAGGGCTTCCAGCGCACTGCATATAAAACACAATTATGCATAGGCATGAAGAATTTCAGAGGAAACTGTTGTCTCCATCTTCAGAGTAGAACTCTAACCTTGCACTGAAAATGGAGGCAGCAGGTTCATGCAAAACACTGATACCTATATAACAAACTATACGATGTTACATCCCAAAAGAAATTTCTTCCTTTAGTTGACAGTGTGCTAACTGCATAGGTTATATTAGAATGGTAAAGCTATAACAGTAAGATGAGTTATCAACATAAATAGATAGGGACATATATTTTTAAGGTACATTATGGCATCTGCACATGGAAACTACAAACAAGCGCAAAAAAGAGCAATCACTTTGTAGAAATAATTACTGGTGACCTTCCACATTAAAATCATATACTGTGACATGCAGTAAATATGGACCAATGCTCACGCTGCCTCAATGCCTTGTATCTTGATGTCCCGTTGCTTGCTCTCCATCATATCATGTGTGAACATTGCATGAAAGTAAGGAATTGTTGCAGCTAGGACAATTCGGTGTGCACTAAAAGACTGATCATCCACCTACAAAAAAAAAAATATATATATATACTAACTACATAATGAGGTGAAATTAGATTTAATTCTAGACATTAACGTTAAGAAAGCCAAAATACGTCAAAAATTGTATTTGGTCATAGCAATTTGATAAATCAGACCTAACCTCCAAACTTGAGTACCATCATTACTGACACCTAAACGATGTAAACTGACAACAGAGTTCGATTCGAGCTATATACCATATAGAGAGTTAATTCGAGTCTTTTACATAATACTTCACGAATTTAAAAATTAATTATTTTAAAATACAACACAACATACTTTCAACCTAACATCACAAAGCTTTCCTTGCCTCCGGATTTCTTCCATGATTGGAAAACCTAATGAAAAAAGGTCGGATTGTTGAAACGTTATGGTCTCTTCGTTTTCTGATTCCATTATTTATCAAGTTTACATCCAAAAACACCGTACGTAGCTGTGTCTTCCGCGTTCAGCGATTAGACCTTGAACTGTCTTGAATAGTGACACTAAGTTCACAACGTTCACAACGGTAGGAATGGTGGCGATTGTAGCGATCTCTTGGCAGAACCAGTTAACCGCAATTAGTTCGGGATTCTGTTAAGAGGTGTCGCGAAGGTACACTTTAATATAGGTTAACCGTGTAGTATTCCAAATTGACATTTTACGGACCAAATCGAACGGCTGCAAGATGAACAGGGTAACCAACAGTTAAATGAGAACAAGGGGAATGTGATTACATGTATAATGTATATTTTAATGCCATTAAAGGCTAGGTCCATAAATTATATATGATTTATGTTGATGAATGACGTATATCATGTGCGTACACTTATATATTTTCTGGCAAGTGAATGTAGTGTGTTAGTTTGGAGAGAATTTCATATATTACCTACACTGCCAGTCACACATGAAATATCGAAGGGTTAACTGAGGAAAGCACATCGAGTGCGATATATTCTTGAGGCAGAGTTTTGTCAGTTAAGTGTGAATGGTCTTATGTGTGAATGTGTGTTTGACTTCCGCTGGCAATTGCGAGGAAAGGTGAGTGAACATAATTTTATTTATTGCTGTAAGCTGTTTGGATATAATTTCAGATACCCTGATTGATGGACGCCGAGTGTCAGTTCGTCGTATTCACCGATATGATAATGGCGGAAGTTACGTACTTTTCGTTATTTTAATACGAGAAAACGTTATCGTGGGTGTTAAAACATCAGAATTGTTTAATTGACGTAAGTAAGTCGCTTCATATCTTAATAAACCTCTACTGCACTATTCGAAATAATAACTTATGTCTTGACATTTCATAAGTTTTTTCTGCAATATCAGCCAGTGTCGATTTCAAGATATGAATAACACGTATTTCATATGCTTCCATGAGATCGTTTGTTTTCAGAGGCTCTCATTTTTCACATACCATTTATTTCACGGTTTAGCAGTGTCAGAATTATAAATTCTACGTCATTGTTGCTCATACAAGATAATAGAAAAACACTGGTCGACAAGAGGCTGTTAATATTTATGTTGTAGTATTTGAAATGGTGAAGTTTACATGCTTAGGGCAATGGTGGAATGAAGATTTGTAAGGGAAACGTGAGAGAACTCGGAGGAAATCCTACCCTATTGCCACTTCTTCGTCCGCCACAAACATCACATGAAGTCATCCTGGATGGAACCCGAGGCTCCATGTTGGAAAGCCAGCTCCTAACCATTTGAGTTATGCCAGAAGCCCTTATAGCCATGATTAATGTAAACATTTGTACCCAGCATCGAGGTTGAGTGGGTAGCATTTTTTCGTATCCAGAAAGTCATGGGTTCAGTTTTCGTTTCTGAGACCCTTTATTCTGAGGTTCTTCCCTGTCTTCATTGGTCCCTCCAGACAAATGCTGTGGTAGCACCACCTATGCTTTCCATGTCGCTTCCAATTAAGTATCCGTTATTCAGTCTCTATAGCGGTGGGCTATGAACTGGACGGCATGGGTTCAATTCCCGGCAGGGCCCAGAGATTTTTCTGTACTCCTCATGGTCAGGACCGATTCGGAGACCTACCCAGCCCCCTATCAAATGGCCGGTACATGAAGCTGACAGATTACCTCCATCTAGTGCCGAGGTCAAGATTGGTGGAGCTGTACCTTTGCTCCCCCATACATCTTCATGGTGTGGGAAAACTCTAGCTTTATCATTGTACTGTTTGGCGCCGTAGAGCAGAGGTGGCCAGGCTTACCATCGGAGGCTCGTATGTTGGTTTTCAGCAATTCGGGAGCCCCAAACAAACGTGGATTGGGTGGCACATGTGTACCTCCTCCCCACGCAGCATATTTTCATTTACTTAAAGACATCATTAACCGATGGAGCTTTATAAAGGAGACGCATTGTGTTTTCCATGGGACAAGAGATGCATCCTGAAATATTCTATAGGCGAATTTCATGCCTCAGATAACATGTAGAGCAGCTTGCCAGACGAGATGTGTGGAGGTGGAGTTGAACACCTCCACTGTAGCCCTGCCAGTCGTAGGAGGCGGCGAAAGGGCAAGTCTCGAATCTGTGACAGTAAAATATGGTCGTAAGTCCCACAGGACACAGACCTGATAATGACTGCCCTGTTGAGACCAGCAGCAACTGTAAACGACAGATCCAACCCCTCGTCAGAGAAAGCGCCCCACATCAACAAACCTGCAACTGTCTGATAGTAATAAAAACCTGGTCGAAGTCTCAGATGGGTGCTTTATTCCAAGGAGACTGGCTGACTGACCGTCGGTCGTAACGTAAGTCTCAGACCTCAGGCCTCAGGATGGTACCGTACATAAGGACTATGACCGCTATGTGCTCTCGTCAGCACTTACAGTTATTCACATTTTTACTTTTTAATGTGTGTATGTGTGGTAATCCATGTTTCCCTCGTCTTATCTCGCATTTCTGTCGTGGGTTCATTTGAGAAGATAGTACAAAGATGTGTCTTGATCTCTCAATAGTCAAAGCAGAGTGTCATTATTTTTTTTATTGCTAGTGGGGTGGGACTAAGTCCCTTGTACTGCGGCCACTTCTGGCCTATTGTACCAGCCACAGATGATAGATGACGGTGATTGTGGAGCAATTGGTGGAATGAAGATTGGGAGGAGAAACCAAAGTACTCGGAGAAAATGTGCCCCAGCGCCACTTTGTCCACCACAAATCCCACTTGACCAGACCCGGGATCGAACCCGGGCCGCCGCGGTGGGAAGCCAGCGACTAACCGCTTCAGCTATGGCGAAAGTGTCATTAACTTTTGAACAATAGAACTTGTACATTACCGTGGTGATATTAGGATACAGCGGATGCGTACAGGAGAATATTTCCTGAAAGCATCTTAGAATGAGTTCCTTGAGATGTTTGCTCAGTGCACACAGATGTAAAAGGGCCACTGTGTAGATCACGGATTCTGTTTAAATCCTTGATTATATAGAGGAGTTTTGAATTTGTATTCTTGGACAGTTGTTGAATAAACGTACCCGCAAGTTCTGTGTCCCCACTCCATCAGAACTTGCCCCCGTTGCTTGGAAACTGCGTATCTCCCGCGATGTCGTTTATCTCCCCTTATGTCCGTATCATATTGATTTTAGTCCAGCGGGGTGCGTACCCTTCCAGGCCGAAGAAGGTGACTTAAAATCAATCCCCAACCCAACATTTCTTTGAACTTCATTTTTAGTACCGCCATAAGCATATCCTCGTTAGTAGGGCCCAGGCCGAGCATTAACGTTCCTGGGAGTGCTAGGGTGGAATCTCCGCTATATCACCAAGCATCGCGACTGAGGCCCTCAAGGCAAGAGCTGGAGTAGTAGTTCGATTGGACCTCAGCCACTATCTTCCAAATCCATTCATCTTACCGTCTGACGCGGTATACTCTCGATACTGAAAGCATCATTAAATGGCCAACTTAAGAATAGTATCGTCCAGGTTACTGACACTCAATTCCTGTACTTCTGTTTTGCGATGTCCATGGAGCTTTCTGACTGACGAACTAACTGACTGGGATCGTGGGTTTGAATCCCTCTTCAGGCATGGCTGCCTATGTGTGAGTTCTTTTTGTGTTTGTGCTGTTCTGTGTGTGTGCGGGGCTGATCCCCCGTCCAAGGATTCCTACCGGATGTGTAAAAAATCAAGAAACTGAAAAAAGTGACCAAGGTCCAACAAAGGGCTGTAGAGCCATAGATAGATAGTTTGTCTAACGAAGCCTGAACAGTTTCGGACTACTGTGTATCGTGGGAAGTTGGTATTAGTGAATAATTAATTGGGAAGGTTGTGTAAGAAAGCAAGTGTGGTCTTATCGAGTCACTGTCCCCTCATTTTCCCCGGAGAAACTGATCAAAACCACGGAAGACCTCAGGATAATAAGGGTGACGAGGCGTTGACGCCATGAATTATTGTTATTATTGTTGTGGCAGGAGGGTTGCTTTGCATTTCGTGGTTTGTTGGCCACACGCGCTGGCGACCGTATCGTGTGAGAAAGTTCAACAGGACCTTTTTGTGTTTGTATTGCGTTGCATAGGCCGGACGCAGTGCAAACAGCCCCACTGATAAACCGCATGGCAATCCCATGTTTTGAACTACGCAGATGGATATGAGGTTCTTTAAAGCGGTGGAGGTGTAGTCCTCTGGAACTTCATTCGACATTTCATAAGTACGTACTGCGTCCATCTTCAGGGTAAAAATGTAAGCCGAACATAAGAATCAGGGCTGTGCTGAGCTTCTTCCTAGTAGCCGGGGCGCTCTTCCCCGGAGGAAAAGCGCCCCGTGCGTAGGGCTTGACCTGACAGTAGCAGTTTTACCTTCATTACAGAGACAGACCGGCGCATGCTATTTGGGGAAGTAATCGTAGTTAATTGTGAGGATTATACGAACACGTAGACACATTCTGTGAATGGTGATGTGGAAGCAGGCGCTACAAACAGTGGCCACTGGCTGGAGAAGCCGGTATGTCCGACGTAAAGGAGAAAGACAATCGCCCGGTTTCGGACCTCTGAGATTGACTGAACGTTTGTTTTTAACGGAGTGGGAGTGGGCTTTTCTTCCGTCTAAACAGGTTAGTGGGGTACCGTTGCTGAAGGTCAAATTTACTCGGTTTTTGCCTGCCTGAGGGTGTTTGAGGACAGGGTGTTGAGAATATTTGGACCGAAGAGGGATGAAGTGACAGGAGGTTGGGGAAAACTGCATAATGAGTAGCTTCATAACTTGTGCTCTTCTCCAAGTATAATTAGAATGATCAAGTCAAGGAGGATGAGGTGGGCAGGGCATGTAGCACGAATGGGGGAGAAGAGGAATGCATATTAGATATTGGCGGGAAAGCCAGAAGGAAAGAGACCACTGGGAAGACCAAGGCGTAAGTGGGCGGACAATATTAAAATGGATCTTCGAGAGATAGGATGGTCTGGATTGGATAGTTCTGGCACAGGATAGGGACCAGTGGAGGGCTCTTGTGAACACGGTAATGGAGTGAGGAGCACAGCCCAATGACGACACTGCAGCTGTTTGATGCTGTGTACTGCCCAGCAGAGACCAGTCGAT